CCGCCCCAAGCACCCGACAATCTGAATCATGAGCACGGACCGGTTTGAAAACTAGCCCCAAGGCCTTTTGGGGTAGGGCTGAGAAAAATGTAGACTCCATCAAGGGTCATTGGGTGCATGGGAGGCCAAAATTGGAGCAACGGACTCCAACCGGCCCTTGGCCAGAATCATCAGTATCATTGGGGCCGCGTTTCTCCTTCTGCCAGGCTTCCAAGCCGCCTGTGCCCAGTGGGCAGAGCGTGATGGGGTTCTTGAATGTTGGATGCTGGAACCATGGAGGCTATCATGAGTCTTGGCGAGTTCTATGACGGGTTTGCCATGGAAACATGGATACGTGGGGTGATGGGTTGCAGGATTTATGATGGTTTTATGCAGATTTTCTGCGGGTTTTTCACAGGTTTTATGATGGTTTCATGGGGTTTGCGTGTGGGTTTTCAGGTCTAGCGCTTGAACCGGCTTCATGAAGATTACAAGATTGTTTTGCGGGTTCTTCATACCTGCACTCGGGCTTTTTTATTGTGGCTCCAATGACTTCGCAGGGTTAGGTTCACTTGAAAAACGGGTTTTGCGGGGCTGATGGCATTTTCAGGGGTTGGAAGAGCTCGACAATAGGTGCGAGCGACCAAAGGATCACTTGAGTAGCGAAATGGACCCTGAATTGCGCTGATGATGCTCGCGTATCGGCGCGCGCGCACGCGCGCGCCGGTACGCGAGCATCATCAGCACAATTGGGGCACCCATGCTTTCTAAGCTTCCACCAGCACACGGAGGGATTTCTGAAGGATATTGGGGGCCCCAGACGCCCCTCAAAAAACATCATCAGCACGGATTGGCCTGGTTAAGGTGCCTGGGCCAAGAAGACTTTGGACTGAAGGGCAGGCCAATGAGCACAGGCAGGCCAACAAATGGAGTATAGGCCCGCAATGATGCTGATGATGCGGCATCATCAGCATTGCCAGGGGTCCGTTTCTCTTTTCTAGGCCCTGTACTGCTGTCATTCGCCACTACCCTTCCGACCATTCCCACTTCGACTATGATGTACTTCTACTACGATGTACTTACTTCTGGTCCTGTTAGTTGCTGCGCCTGTTATTGTTGTTATTGCTGTTTCTTGCAGTTGCCTACAAAGGCGGCAGGGCCGGCCCCTGCTGCTAGCCCTAACATATATATATATATATATATCTTTTTTTTTGTTGTACAGATCCGGGCCCCGAATTTGAAAAAAAATGATTAATAGATTGTGAGTTTTAGGCTCGGTGCTTGGGTTCCTGACTTGGGGGTCTGGGACCGCATAAATCAAAACCTGAAGTTCAGGGTTTCGGGTCTATCCTTGGTTTGATGAGCAGCTTGGTAACGCTACAGGGTATTGGGGATGCTGTGGAATGAGGATTTTTTGTAAGCTTCAAGATTTATTTAGGCTTTACCTAGACACTCCAATGTAGTACCTTTTTGGTAGTCCTAATAAGAATCCTAACCAAAAAGCCATACCAAACCCAAAAAGGAACTACATTGGAGGGTCTAGGTAGGTTCAGGGTTTAGACATTAGGGCCTTGAATCTAGGAATGTTTCAGCTTGGTAGCGTCGGCTGCGAGGCAGTTAAGCCCAATGACAGGGAAAATGTTCAGAAAAGGAATATTGAAGGGGAATCCAGAGCAGGACCTAGGTGTAGGGTTTAGGGTTAAGGATCTAGAGTCCGCACATGCAGACACTGGAACCTAATCCTTAGTCGCCGTAGTCTGGTTCTCATCCCGCACCATCACGGCGCAGGACGTGAACCAGGTCGTCGCGTCATCTGGTTTTCATCCCGCACCATCACGGCGCAGGACTTGAACCAGGTCGTCACCAACGGATCGCATCCTAAACCCTACACCTAGGAGACCATTCGCGACCTTAGGGAAAGTCCTGCATTCTGGATTCCCCTTCAAAATCCCTTCCTATTCAATATCCCTTTCCGGAACATTACCCCTGTCATTGGGCTCCAATGCCCTCGGCGCTGACACTGCTAATTAGAGGCTAAGCTCAAACACTAATTTTGGAACTGGCTGTGTGCCCGTCGCCCCGCCTGCTCTTCGCCCAGCCAGCCTTGTCCCAGCCCTGCAAGATCTCAAATTGCAAGTGGAAGCAGGTTCGCAACAGCGCACAGAGTCTGAGGGCAACACGCTTGCGACCTTCGAAGACATTCACAAAGTACGGCCTCCGGAAAAGAAGTTGGACTAGTCAGGGGCAGCTGGGAAAGCTCTCCTACTCTCTACTGACCTGGGGTCGCTAGGCTTTGCAAAGCCCAGTCGAAGCACCACGCAGGGCCACAAGGCGGCAGTCTCAACCTGCTTCGTTGAAAGACCGGGCTCTACCATAGGGAGGATTTTTTCCTGGTTGCGGGGCCTTGTCATTCACCTGCGCCCACACGAAGTCTCCGGGACGCCACCGCAGCGCACGCTGCTGGGCGAGAGCCTCTGTGCAGTGCGAGCAGTACCTGAGTGGATGCTCCAGGTTTCTACTTAAAACCACTCTATCACCAGTTGTCATTTCGTTTTCCATGTTATTGTCAATTTTCTTTTCCATTTGATTCTCCATTATTGGGTGTCATACTTGTCCCACTGCCCAAAGAACGGCCACACCTGAAGCACACCTGGTGCTCTGCAGCACTTCTCTACGAGTAGCAGGGCCATTCCAATCCACAAATACTCTCCTATATTATCCCCTATACAACCTCCCTTCAAGGAGTTTAGACTATACCCTAAACCCTACATAGTAGTTTCCATTGTATTTGCCATTATCCCTATATAGTCCCCTATATCATCCCCTATAGCTCATGTGATGCAAGCATGCGGCCAGTTATCATCGGAGCTCCCAGGGTCCGTCACTGGCGGATCGTGACAGGACATGTGGAAGGCCTGAGGCGTAAATCTGCTGGGCTTTCATCTTGGCCTACTGTTACTATTATTACTATTAATATCATTACTGTTTTTTCTTCTAATACTACTACTGTTACTGTTATTGCTATTACTTCTATCTTATTGCTATTAGTGCTAGCAAGGATTGAAGGAAAGGATGTTGGAGAGTATATGAGCTACAGTCTAAGCTCCTAGTATTCCCCTTAATAACCCCTATAGTAGTCCCATATGTTATCCCCCATATACCCCTCTTTAAGGAGTTTAATGTTAAGAGTTGACATGGGCACGTGGTGGGAATCCATTCCATCATTCCTTCCTAAGGGGATTCTGGTAGCCCAAACGCCTATAAGAAGACCGCTTCGAGTTGGCAACCTCCCCTCATTTAAATGGGAGTCTCCATAAATATGGGGACCAACACTGCAGACCCCAATATGCTGACCATACTAATCCTTATTTATGTAGGGCCTAACTTCCGGAAGCCGGGTTCTCTTACTGAGCCTTGTCGCAGCCGTCGCAGCGAATCAAGCTCCCTTTTCGTCCTGAGCTTGGTAGACCAGGTGCCAGCTTGAATAGTGTAGAATGGATTTTAGGCCATTGTTTCAGTTGCCTGTGGGGGTCAACCCTAAACCCCAAAATCCCACAACCCCCGTAAGCGCCAGGCCTGCGCAAATGGAGCAGCTCCACGTTTCCTTCCTGCCAAACTTCGGCATTGCCATACCCGAAATCCTCCATCTCGCCCTACAAGGGGGGCCAGACTAGACGCTACATTACTCATATCCCTCCTGGACCCTAAATGACCTTTAGATGTATCTAAATATGATAACACCCTATAGCTTCTATTTACCCTGTATAACACCTTAATGGAGGGGTACCGTTCAAGTAACCAAGAACTCAGAGCCTGTCCTTGCACCACTCTTTGGCTCCATGCGGCCTGCACAAATCTGCCACAAGAAGTGGATTCAGATACAATACTAATAGTAATAATAAAGTGCTAGTTGCACTTTAGGGGTTAATATAGGAATGTAACAACAATAGTTGCGCTGTAGGGGTTAATATAGGAAGATCTAGGGATAATGGAAAAGAACATGGGTTCCTTTGCGTAGCTCAGAAAATGGGAGTCTTGATTCTGCAGGTATAGTCCCCCTTAAGTAGATAGAATATGGGGTTAAATGGGGATCTTATTATAAAATATTCAAGGCCATATTCTATCTACTCAAGGGAGACTATACCCCTTCCGAAGGAGGCACTTTCGAGAAACAGGAGCAACTTCTGCTCCACGAGTGCGAGACACGCTCTTGTCTGGCTTGCTGCTAAGGAACTCAAATGAAGTTACGATGATGATGGTACTAAGAAGGAGACCTTATTATTTACTATATACCCAAATTCTGGTAACTTAATCTAATTAGGTAAAGACTAAAACTCATAACCCCAATATAGGCCCAACATAACCCTAATATAGCCCCCTATAGGACCCTGAGCCCAGTACTTTTCACGTCTTTGCAGCGGCGAGTCATGGGCGAGCCAGCGGGTGTCATTGGCGCCCTGCTTGTTACTCGGTCACGGACCGCCAGGCCAAGGCTCTCCAGCAGCTCAGCAACTACCAGGACCCTCCTTGTACCCTTAATTGGGGGTATATGGTCCCTAATAGTAGGTACTTAGGCCCTAATAGAGGCTAGGAGGAGGGTCTAGGTATACAGCTAGATTGCTATTAAGGGTCTAGGGATTAGGATTTTCAATGGTGAGGGATTCATAGGGATGTAGGGATTAGGGTGTAGGGATTAGGATGTATCTCCACTCTGTAGGGGCTCTAAAAAGACACTACAATATAAACTTCTTGACAGAATTGCCGCGCTCGCCCTGTGGCGACTTGAAAGCGGCCGTTCGGCCGCTTCACTTGCGGGCACTGTCTGAGTTTGAGGCAAGGCCATCCAAGAGAGGCCAATTGACAATGCCGCATAGCGTTGACTCACCTCAGAAGCGGCTTATGTCAAACCTTGAATATCTGTAAAGCGTAAACCCTAAACCGTGTAGTTTTGTCTATATGAGACTGCTGTGAAGGCCCGTGCCATATAAACGTGTCAGGTGAGGCTTCTTGGGCATTGGCTGTCAGCGGCGGCCCCGATTTCTATTCCTGATGCACTTGCGCCTCGAGTTCAAGCCATGGCGTGTTCTCGTGGTATGCATGAGAGCAATATGGAGCTGTGCAGGTGACGTTGTCTCCGTCTGCCACTCCATCGCTTTGCGATGCCTCGTTAACAGAGCAGGTCAGGAACAACAAGCTGAGCAGGCTAAGCCCGTGACTCCGGGTTCTCGGAGGGCAGGCGCCGGCTAAAGTAGGAGTAGTGGTTCTCCTGCAGAGCTGCGACAATCCCTCAAAGCTTGCTTTTGCTTGCTTCATGTCTTCGTGCGTGTCCTGCAGAGACCTAGGCGAATCCTTGGCTCCCACAACACAAAAAAGACTCCTAAATGAAAGCCTTGTCCTGAGCCTTCTCAAGGTCCCGGCTCGTTGAGATCGCTGAAAAATGGAAGGAAAGTCATTGATGCTAATGGGCCGAGGCTGCTTGGCCTGGCAATTCAAAAAAGCCCTCTAAAAAGATGGAAACTACTATAGTATATTAGGGCCGTATGTAGGGAGAATGGAAAAGAACATGGAAACTATCATAGTAGGGTTGGTTATATAGGGATAGTGAAAAAGAACATCGAAGCTACTATGGTATATTAGGGTTATGTAGGGATAATGGAAAAGAAAATGGAAACTACCATCTGCCTTCAAGAGCTCCCTCGGCGTCACTGGTCTGTGCAGCCACCTCAAGCTGAAGAGCACAAAGCCTGTGTTGACTTTGACACTGGGCTTAGCTCTCCTTCGTGCTGCTAGAAGCCCATCCGAAATCAAAGCAACGCAGGCGAATTCATTGTGGTTCAGGATGTGGTCATGGTATGGGGGATGCAATGAGGAAGGCACTTCACGTGCGGAACAAAGAAATCTGAAATCCATGCGAGCGGCCACAGTGAATGGAGTCAAGCAAATCAAATGCGGAGGTATATGAGTCAGGTCACAGTTGCAGCTACTTGACCGAAAACGACGAACTGCAAGCTTTCTTCTGAGGCTGGGTATGACCGCGACATGAATTTGCTAGCCAACATCCAGGCAAGAGCCCGAGAAAAAACCGTTGAACAAATGGCAATGACAATAGGGTGGCCCAACGACGATGCTCTTGAGAATCTTTGGGCTATTTGGATCCCTTTACATCCATATCAACCCGTAGTTTCCATTTAGTTGTCCATCTGACTTTCCATTATTAGGGCAATACATTGGGCTATTTGGATCCCTAGGGAAAGCTGAGGGCATCATCCTCAGAGACATCTCTGAGCTTCCCGGCTGCATGGCTGCGGCATAGTTTCTGCTCTGCTGTGCCAGCGCCTCCGTGAAGGAAACTGCAGTAAGGGTTTAGGGTTGAATGACGGGGTTTAGGGTTTAAGGGGTTTAGGGGGCAGAGCTTAAATTAAACCATGCAAATAAGACTCTGCTTCTCCGCGAAAGTTGAGGTGCCTCCTCGTCGTCGTCATCATCGCCTTCAGACATGACCCGTATTCCAATTGCAGCAAATAGCTAATTTCCCCTAATAAGGGGACCCTAAGGGGTTTAGGGCTTAGGGGTCCTAATATAGCACCCCCCTGCCCCCCGAAAGACGATGATTCTTATTATGGCGACCCCCCACAATGGTGCCTGCAATCATGGGACACCCCTATTTAACCCCTACATCATCCCTATATACTCCCTATAATTATCCCTACATACTCCCTATAAAATCCCCCAATTTTCAGGAACCTCCCCTGGCCACTTGGAAACCCAAGAACCAGACCCAGGCTCGTGCCGGCGGCTGCCACGGGAACTGGCATGACCTGGGCCAAGGCGTGTTGGGGTTTAGGGTTTAGGGTTCAGGGTTTAGGGCAGTTTAGGGTTTGGGGTTCGCTCCGCGGCATAGGTTCTCCGACCGCGCACGGCAGTTGCCACTGGCTCCAGCGCGAGCTGGT